AGGTGGGCGCCAGCTCAGGCTCCTGCGACGGCGTGAAACATAAGACAACATGCCGAGCAAGGATAGCGAAGCCAGAGCCTCTGTGTGCAATGTTGAGGCTGGCTCAGTAAGCAGGGCCGGGGCCTCGCGGATAGGCATCATTTCTGGCAGATTGCGTCACATGATGCAAGAATATGACATGCACGTCATGGACTCTAGCATATGATCACGCGACCATGGGGATCGATGTGTATACAGGCACTTTGCCACAGGTCACAACAAATCGTTCGAAAGATGACACTGACACAATGGAAGCCTCAGACTGCGTCGCGCTGGCTACGGGGCAGACCTGACAGAAAGCGCAAGCAAATATACAACCCCCGGCATGCGGCAAGGTAAACTATGATCGAGACACAAAACCAGCCTCAGAAAGTATGTTGTTGGCAGCCGTGGTGGGCGCCTGACAGGCAACACCGGCAGCACGACAAACATCTGGAGCAAAGTCATGCTGGAATGCTATCTGAAAACCCTGCCGCAGCCCGCTCGTACAGAAAATACCGCGAATGGGTCTGAAGGTGCGGCGGCTCACGTGGTAGCCGTTTAGGACGGTCACCATCATTGTATTGCACCCAGCCAGCCCCATTGGATTGCCGCAGGAAAGCCACATAATGACCAGAATCGAAGGACTGTCCACGGTGGAGTACCGCTGCACGCAGAAAATAGACATAGTTCCCGCGCTCGAACTCAGGAGGCGCAAAGACAGCTGTGCGGTTCAGCTGACCGAGGCCAGTTTCGCGCACAACTTGGAGCAAAGCTACAGGGCCTAGGTGCCATGACTCAGCAGATGTCAAAGAAGTGCGCTGCGAGCAGTGTGGGCAAGGAAGACCGCCGTCTGGCACAATGGCAGGATCTTTGTCCAGCAAGTCATTGAGGGCAATGGCAGCGCAGTCATCAAACGGTGGCAGTGTCAAAGCAGCGAAGACATGCCGCACCGGTGCTGCCGTCACAACGGGCATCTCGAAGGGGCAAGAGCATTGCGGATGATGCTTCAAGTCGTGAAAATGATCTGCCCACATACTTTGAAAAGCTATGGTGTCTTGAGGGCCCAGCTGCAACAAAATCTCTAAGGGATCATGCTGTTCTTCAAAAGTCACACCAATCGACTCCAAGGGGTTGGCCCAAAGAGGTTGAAGGTCTACTTCTGACCCCGGCTCACTGCTTGCGCGTTCAGTATCTCGCAACGCACACGCCCAGCAGGTGCTGGCGCAGGCCCGAGTGCGCTGGTGTTCTGAAGTCGCCTTGATCATTGGCAAGCAAGAAAAGACAGATTGAAGAAGACTGGCCAGCCAGCATGAAGTCCCAGTCAGGTTTGGGAAGACGCCGCGCAGGCCTCAAGATCACAAGCATCTGTCACACGTGAAGCATATGGCAGTCTCAATGTGAAACAGCAAATATCCGAGCCTGGAGTGTTGCCATGGGCAGCGTGCATCCGCCGGTTCCGAACTTTGTGGGACACAACCCATGTTGTGTGAACGCGAACAAGCATGCTTCCGAAAGGGCATGTCACATCCGCCGGCTGCAAGATGCTGGTAGTCACCTGGGAAAAAAGGACGCGAAAGATACCAAGCTGGACACTGGCATGGGATGATGGAAGGAAACGCACACTGAAAATTCAGGCCTCGAAGTGGAGATCCGAGGCAGGCGAATGCACAGCAGCTATGCGCTGTAGCCTGTGCATAGAGCGATGAATGCTTTGGCAGGTAGAGGTTTGTCAGAAAGTGCTAGCTATGGCAAGACAAGCCAGCGCACGCTTTCTGCAGTAGGCTTCGGCGCCACTGGCGCGTGGGTCCGCCCCAGCTGTAGCTATCACCTGCTTTTTTGGATGGAAGGCGGGCGCTGGCAATAATGTATTACCGCACTTACACCTGCCGACGAAAGCAACATAGGACCCGCACACCAAGACATCTCGAGGAACAAGCCGCTGGAAGCCGCCTACAGGTCGCATCATCTGCATGCAAGCACTGACATCCACAAACCGGCAGCACTGAAACAGATGTGTCGGGGCCTTCTGCGCATCTCGCCAAGCATGATCCAAGAACGCATCATCCTGGACAACAATCATCTACAATAGACCTATAAGACACTAGCGCGCGGGAAAACGCAATCGGACCTCACCGGCTGCAACGGCTCGGTCAACAGGCCTTGGGACGAATTGGGTCTATGCGCGGCGACGGCACATAACTTCCAGGGAAAAGCAACGAGACGCCTGCGCGAAGGACGAGACGACGGAGACGGAAGCTTGGCCTGAGCGGCAGCAGGGGACAAGTACCGAAGCACAAGGCCGCTTCATGGTGATGCTGTTCCCACCCATGTATAAGGGCTCGACTACAGGCCGCTGCAACTCAAACTTCCCCGGATGGGGCTCCTATTGCCAGGAGGCATTGCCACGTATGCGTCGAGCAATGCAAGCATGAGACTGAGATCTTGCCTTGGCGTCTTCCTCGTACGGCACACGAATCCATCCCACCTGGGATAAAAACAGGTGTTGCAAAAAAACATCTACAGAGACATAGGCCAATGCGAAGCGGTGCACATGGGGCCCAGACAGAAGTTTTCAATGTCAAACGACATCCCCAAAACTTGTGCAGGAACGCAGTCACGTTGAAATCCTGACACAGATGCGACGGATGAGTTTGTGACCGTACGAAGAAAAGAAAATCATGGCCCTACCCGCATACAAAGGCGCAGCACGACTAGCCTCGGAGGCATCCGCCCAGCGCCCGGTCATGCCTTCACAAGTATAGCACATCAGGCCCGGAATGGACGCAACCAGTCGCTTCAAGGCTGAGGCTGCGGCTAGAAGACGTGGAGCCATTGGCAAAGAGAACGAGCCAAAACTTGCAGTTCAGCTCGGTTCAAAGAAGAAAAGGTGCAGGCCACCAAGCAAGACCAAGCAAAGAGCTCAAAAGCAAACCATCAAGACACTGCAGTTTGCAGCTGGCCTGAGTAAAAGGTGCAAGGCATCAAGCCTCAGCAGAGAAACATGCAGCCAAAGTGACAGGAGAAGCACTGAGGCTGCGGCCCTTTGCCGGGAGGAGCACATGCTCCCCCCTCCTCCTGGGCCGCGACAAGACAGCTCAACGGTTGAAGGGGCTTATTGATATCCCAGGAGGGGGCCCTTCCCTTCAACCTGCCATCTGCCGCGGGGGCTCCTGCGGTTGCCCTACCGATTTGTGTCACGGCTTCGCTGCCGCCGCATTCCAGCACGCTTTTATGTTTTGGTCGAGCCCCCCCTCCCGCTCTTTTTTTTCTATACCGTTATGCGGACCGCTGCCGAGGATGCTGTGGCGGTTGTCATTTGGGTTGTAGCAGGCAGGCTCGCTAGACGTGAATACTGAAGGCTTATGATGGGCTGCTGCTTGCTGCTGAAGCTTCCCTACCGGCAGGCTATAGGACAGAAGATCGACTTGTTAGATGTGGTGAGACTGCTTGCGGTTTCGGGGGGGAGGCGCTGCGCCCTCC